AGCACAAGGAAGTGCACTGCTCTCCTCAGTTCACAGTAGTCTGCGGCCAGGTTAGATGACCACCCAGAATAATGACGGTACTGTAGTGTCTCAGGACTTACTAAAAATTGCTAAACTATTTACAGAGTTGGGACACTGTGGCAGAAGAATTGCTGAACAAAATGTTTATTTTCTCTTTTACAAAAGCAGAGGTGCCAAAGAACTTGATTTTCTGCATGTGTAAAATGCATGTTTAATGAGTCACTGGCCTCTCTTTTCATTTATTTAATGGTTAATACTGTAAGTAATGCAGGGACTGATATTACCTGTTATCAGGCACTCTTCATCAGTGGCCTGGGATGTTTGTGGGCTAATTATACCATGAGCAACACATACAGCCAAAACAGAGGAAAATAAATGTAGAAAATACATTAAAAATGTTCATGAATGCTTATCTTTGGATGCAAGAATTCTGGATAATTTTTTATCTTCACACTCTTAAATTTTCTAGTTTGTTTCTTTAAAAAAGAAGTAGTTGTTACTTTTATACTTAGCAAAAAGAGAGGTTTAAAATACCAATTTATACAACTTTGTATATGCCACTTCAGATAGCTATGTCTGGGTTTCCCCCAAGTTCACAGCACACCCTTCTCTTCTGGGAATTTCTTGTCCCGTGTCCAGTTCCGAGGGAAGGGCCCTAGGAAACGTGCTTGTCTCAGGTTGAAATTCAAATGCAGTCTCCTCAGAGGCCTTCCAGACAACCACCTAAAGCACCCGCCCACAACACTCAGTCTATTTGGTTTTACACACAGAGCTTATCCTATTAGAAATCATTTTACTTTCTTGTCTATTTTTCTCTTTTCAGTGTGTGTGGGGGTCGCTTTTCTGTCTTATTTTACTGCTGTGTCCCAGCACCAAGAATAGTATCTGACATGGAGTTTTCACTCAAAATAATAGCCACAGAACAAATGAAAAAGCCCCATGTGACTGCATGCACCTGACACTGGCTTAAAGGACAGGAGAGGAGACCCTGAGCAAAGCAAGACCAATCAGAACATTTCCAGAATTTGGAACTTTTGAGGTGACATGGGAATAGGGGAGCTGCAGGGTGGCCACGTTCTGGCTTCTGGGCAGGAGAGAGAGAGAGATCTGAACGACAGAGACAAAGAGAAGACACGGGTTGGAGGCAGCGCAGAGCCCGGTCCCACAGCCTGCGGGGCCTGCTTGCTGTGTCCCAGCCTCAGGTCGCACACCTCTACCATTACGTTCCGCGTTTCAGGCTAGGCCAGCTGGGGCTGGTGCCTGCCCCTTGCAGCCATGGAGCCCTAAGTAATGTATCTGTGGTCACAGTCATGTTTTGAAAATCCACAGCAAGAATATTTTTGGAGGAAATACTCCAGAATGGTTTCCTCTGAGTGGCGGGATGACCTAATTTCCTAAATTTTCTAAACCTAGTACATGTCACTTTTATGATAAGGAAATAATATATATATTTTCCCAAGAAGCATAGTGTGGCAGGCCCCAGTGGATCATGTCAGTTCGTCCCTTTTATTTTAGGGTGAATTGCTGAGAGGTTGCACGGTGAAATGACTCCCCCTCGCGCACGGAGCCCCTTCACCGCTGTGTCCCCAGCTCTCTGATGCCCAGGCTGGTCTTCTCCCTACTGGGCACTCTTTGGCCGGTCATTGTGATTTTCATCCTGACATGCTACATTTCAACTTCTCAATAATAAATTCTCTCATTTTGGTGGGGGAAAAAAGCTTCTTTTTAAGCTTAGAAGCTTAGAAAGCTTCTAAGTTCACTAACTCCAGCGCACTGGGTGTGACTGTCGCACTGCCATGTTGCGAGTTTCCACAGCAATACTGAGGCAGCATCCAGACTGGGTGGGAAAGAAGTGCCACAGCTGATGACTGATGTCTGCCCTGAGTGTGGGGAGAGAGGGGCCGGATGGAGAAAAGTTCTGCTCTAACGCTGTCAGATGCAGGGCGAAGCTGGCTTTATGAGAGCGCGGGAAACGGCTGCTCACTCAGGGGATCCATCGGTATCACACAGGCCTCTGTCCCTTGGTTTATATTAAGAGAAGTCCTGATGTCACTGTATGATAATGGCACAATAAGAACATAAAGAATGAGGCAGTGTCTGTACGAATACTGCTTTGCTGTTTATTACCTTTGTTTGAAATTTCTGTTTTTTTTTTATTTTACTTTTGTTTGAAATTTCATCACACCTTTTTTTTTTTTTTTTTTTGGCTAGCTGGGGTTCAAAGGAGCTGACTGTCATTAGACCGGGGTGTCAGCTGATGGAGTCACCTGGGCACCGTGGAGGCCGGAGTGAAGTGCTCGTGGGGGGGTTGTCCCTTTCCTCTTTCCGGGCTGGACCACAGTGTGGCTCTAATTCCTACGTAAGTCTCACCGAGCTACTGATCTGTCCCACCTGTGTCTTGAATTGATTCATCAGCCCCACCTAGTTTTAAGAGACCTCCTTTAATGATCCAAGAGCCCCCAGCGGTGGTGAACAGAACTGTTTTGGGCCTAGGAACCAGTGACACAGGGAGGAAGTGCTAACAGTCTGAAGAGCATCAGGAAGAAGACACAAATTGTCACTTGGAATTCAGAAGGAGATTAAGTGTTTCAAGAGGACTGGACAGGAGCCCAGAGGCCAGCATGAAGGGACAGAGGCTTTCCCTTTGTCTCCTGGAAAACACAACTATCCCTCTTCTGACCTATGGGCAAACCCCCGCAGGGGTGCCTGCAAACATTTCTCACCTCCCTGGGTGTCACACTCCACCCTCCCTTTCACTATCTAGGCAGGGAGGAAGTTTTGGTTTGGTTTGGTTTGGTTTTTTAAAACTCTGCAGCTGCATTGGTGGAGGACAGGCTGAGTCAGAGGCAATGGGACAAAGCAGCCTCTTCAGGAGGTCCTCTGGGAGTCCTGAGGGCTGGAGCCCACACTGCACTGAAGTCAGGGCTGAAGCAGTTTTAAATATTTACAAAGCAGTTTTAAATATTTGTGAAATGTTACCTCATTACGGACCGGCTGCAAGCATCACCAGGATGGAGAGGAAGCTGAAGAGATGAGCCAAATGGAACTGGGAACTTTCTTTCCGACTAACTTAGATATTTCTAAGGACTCCAGAACTCGGATGTATCTGAGAACTTGGTCAGCCCTGTGTCCATGCGCCCATCATTTGCGAGTGTGAAGAATTTAGGTTGGAATAATGCAAGAGAAAGAGCAACAGGATTGTCTGACTCTGAAAATGGTTAAACTCTGAATTATTTAGGAATTGTTTCACCTCTGTAAATCTTGAAGTGGGAGAAATTCCCTTCTGTCTAAATAATTTCTGCATACGTTTCAGGCTGCACAAAGTGTGGAAATCACTAATCTTGGAAAGGCCTTTACAACTCTGAACCCTTAAGCCCTTGCTCTTGTACAATGCATTTTTTGTTTGCTTGTTTTCAAAGACCCAAGTCTTTGTTTTATGTGGCAACCAGAGGTTACACAAAGCACAGTAAAGAGTTTTCAGTTTGCACACCAGATCCTATCATTAGTGGCTGTTTGGAGAGCTGTGCTAAGAACATTCTGGGTACTGCAGGAAAGAGTGCAACGATAGATTGGCAATGCCTGCCACATATGTGACATCTCGGCGTCAAATCAAGGGACACCTTTTAGACACCTAGACCCAGGGTTAAGTTCTTAAATTCTGAAAAATGGAGGATTCATTATCAAACATCTTCCCCCAAGGAACTGAGAGGTGCAGCTGCCTCAGATACAGGTACCTTCTGTAAGAATTGATGTCTCTTATGAACTTACTGTGAATAGCAGGAAGTTGACCTTCACTCTCCCTATTGTTCTTTGGGGCCTCAGGATTTTGTGCCTGGAATACTTTTCTAGCCTCCCAGTGGTCTCCTAGCCTTACCTTCTTGGGATCTATTCTCTATAAGGCTGATGGACTGAGCTTTCCAAATGAAAGCCCTTCGGTAGTTCCCACCACCCACCGCACAGTTATTTGCCCCTACACAAGGTTCATCTTGATCAGGTCCTTGCTATCCTGCCAGCCCTATGTCTTATTCGTCTTTTTCTTGGCACTTTATATCACAGCCAAGCTGAGTTCCTTGTCCCACTAGACTTTTTCCACAGGGGGGTCCTTCCATGGGGAGTGCCTGCTCCCTTTATATCTTCCCCCACCTCAAGGGTCGACCTTGTTGACCTCCCGCAGTGCCTCTCCTTCCTGCTTAGACTTGGTTAAAGGGCCCTTGGTGCTTGTTTGGACCCCCTGCTGTGATCACAGGTTTGCCTATATCCCCTACTGAAGCTCTGAGCTCTTGCAGGCAGGAACCGCATCTTATTAGCTGCACCCAAACCACTAGGCAATGGATGCCCATAGGAGGTGCTTGATCCATGTTTATTACATGAGTGAATGAATGGGGTTGTGTATTTTCCCCAAATTCATGACATTAATGGTAACTTGGCACCATTAAGTGGACACGACCCATTTCCCCACAGTATCTTCACTGCTTTACCTAATTACCTGCTCTCCAGGCCCCATCCACTGCTTCTTTCAATAACAGTTATTGCAAGACATCGAGGCAAAGGAGAAAAGTGCCAATTATGAACTGTGTAAAAATCTAGAAATTCAAAAGTCACTGAATCTTAGATCTAGAAGAGACCTTTTAGATAGTCTTGTTCAGCTCAGGTCTAGAAGGCAGAACTGACGCCTCACCCATGCCTCCCTCCCTCACTTTGTTCCCATTTTCTTCACTCTATTTTTTGGAAAAAGAAGTTTTCAGCAATTATAATGGCGGCTGTGAAAACTGTACGACCAGATTTCATGGTCCATATGGTGAAAAAGATTTAATTTTGATTGATAACAGAAGTGAAAAGAGTAAGGGACCCATATTTTGGCCTAAATTGTGCAGTTCGAATTCCCAGATCCCTTAACTAAAACTGTCCTGGTTTTATCACTTTTCTTAAAAAAATAATAGGGAACTGGCTCATTTGGAGGGGGAAGGGAAATGGTTTACCTTGTGTAGCTGCGTTTTCTTCTCATAGTAGGCAATCACGGGGATGGCTGCCCGGTAGTAGGCTTCAAGGCGCTTGGCGATGGTGGCGGTGCTGTCCGTACCCCGGCTGCTCTGGCTTCTCTGGAGAAGGCGGCTGGTCATGGTGTCTGCCGAGCAGTCCATGCAGATCACCAAGTGCGGGTCTCCAATCTGGGAGTGGGGAGCACAACTCGGTCAGAGAGTCCATTCTCTGATGCTCTGGGCAGGCCTAGGCCTCCTACCTCTCCCCTTTCGTGGCCTTCCGATTCCTTTTGAAGCCCTAGAACTACATCGTGGCAGAGCTGGGACTGGACTTTGTGGCTCCTTATTTCCAAGTCAGTGGTTTCCCCGTGATGCCTCCGAGTTGTCTTTTGCCTTTGTCACGTCCTGTAGTGCAGGGACTACATAAAATACGAGCCAATGCAGTCGCAATCTGTTCTCTGCACCAGGGGGCGGGGCGGGCGCGTGTGTGGTGTGTCCTTTGGGAAGACTCCGACCTACTGAGGCAGAGCTAATCACTTCCGCCTCCGTACCCCCACGTTATCCTACCTGTGCCAGTGGCACATAGTGCGACTGTGTCTGCGTTACCTGGGGATTAGTACAGCATAATGCTCGCGCACACACTGGTTCAAGCCAGGCTGCTTAGGGTCAAATTTTGGTGTGGTGACTTGTCTCCGAGATGGTCTTCATCAATTGTTCCTCCCCCATTGATACAGAGGCCGTACCTTAATTTCTCAGCTTAACTGTAACTGTATTGACCAACAGTATGTAGTGGAACTGATGTGGTATGCTTTTTTACAAATATTTTATGTATTTATTTTTAGAGAGAGGGTAAGGAAAAGAGGGAGAGAAACATCAACGTGTGGTTGCCTCTCGCGCGCCCCCTACTGGGGATCTGGCCCACAATCCAGGCATTTAGTACATGCTTTTAAAAGCAAGATCACAAGAAATTTTGCAGTTTCTGCCTGGTCAACTGCCATCCAAGATGTCCAGCCATTCTGACTGCTAAGATGTGAGGCAGCACAACCCAGCCACGTGGTCAGGGGCTACGTGGACAGAGATGCCTGTGCAGTCCTTGTCTGTTTTGGACATCTCAGCCCTAGCTCCAGACATGTATACTCAGTCTTAGTCACTGTCTGATTGTATAAATTCAGTAAGTATTAGCTATTATGCTTATTTCCCCTAGTAGGCTACCATCTCTTTGTGTGCAGGGGTTAGAAGTGCTCAGCTCTTGGTCTCAAGTCTAGCATATAGTAGGTACGTGATTTTAAAATGTTTTAATGAATGAATACTGAGGACAGGATCAGTAGCATGAGTCTCCCCATCTCCCCATGCTTCTCTTAAATGTTCTTTGCTCCTGACACTTGTGTCTGTGTTGCCTCTACTACTGGGCCCAACCCTGGATCAAAGGAAACTGTTGCTTCCTCCTGATCTTGCAATGATCGGGCTGTGAGTAACACATAGATGCTTCCCACCCCAGTGCAGAAGTGCCTGGGAGGGGTGGGAACAAAGTCAGGGTAGGAAGAATTCAGGTAAAACACAGAATGGTAAGATGCTATCAAATATTTATCTCCCCCACCTGACAGATTTACTTTAAGGAACAGAGTGGAAAACTTCCCCAAAATCTAGACAAGTGAAATAAACCTCTGGAATATGTCATGAAACTTCTACACAAAGGGCTGGTTGAAGGTTTAGAAAAAAAAAGACCCTTGTTCACCAGCAGAGGGCGAGCTTGGGAGGCAGCCTAGGGTTCAGTTACAGAGTTAGACTCCCTGGAGCAATTTCTGGCTGGGGCTGCAGGAGAAGACTAGGAGATTTTTCTAGTTGGGGGAGTTATCAGGCCATTTGTGACGACAGAGAAGACAATCAGGGACTCATTCAAATACAAACAGAGATAATGTGTATCTGAGCAGGAGCTCTCAGTAAATGACCCACTGGACCAAAATAAGTGCAGGAGGCAGAGGTAGATTTCTCACATAGATTCTCAAACTGTGGCCCTCACACGAGCAGCTCGGGAATCATCTGGGAGCTGAACTTACTAGAAATGCAGTCTCAGGCACAGTCCAGGACCTACTGAATCAGTCTGCAGTTTAAGAAGATCTCCAGGTGATTCTTCCCACAATAATTGCTTGCGAAGCTGCTCTACCAAGCCATTTACTTGTGCTGAGACTATGGGGTTTGTACTAACAATGTGTCTCCTGGACTCAGCACTCCCTTCCTACATATAAGAGCTATTGAGCAGTCATTCCATTTGGAAGTGGCCTGTACCACTGATGTTTTAATACTTAATTTTTTTTGAAATGTTCAAATGAAATACCATTGAATTATTTTTCAAAGCAGTTGGATATACTGAAAGTCTTTTAGAGTAGCTCTCCAGTTCCCAGCTCTGCCTCTTTTCACCGGATGTGGCTAGCCTCTAGCATCACACGAGTGGGAGAGCGGAGAACTCTGCCCTTGTCTGAATGACAAGGGGACAACTGCCCAATGAGTTGGGGACAACTCCCTGGCCCCGACATCACCTGGCTGGTGTCCCTGGAATTCTGCCACAGCAGCACTGGGTTCTCCCTGACCTTTGGGAGACCTCTGCTGGGGGCAGCTCTGCTGGGAACCTCTGCTGGGGCACAAGTGTGGCTAAGATGCCATCAGCAATGTTTCTGCAGCTAAGGGCTTAACACTCATCCCTCCGTCAGCACCTGGCTAGGAGGTACCATTTCTACTTTCAGGAAGAGGAAACGGAGGTTCACAGAGGTTAGCCTGCTCAGCATCACAGAGGCCTCACTCACTGGTGCTGGTCCTGATCCAACTGTGTGTGACTCCAAAGACGGTGACTTTACTCTAGTGGAAGGCACCAGAGTTTTCAGAATGGGGTGTGGGCCAGATGACTGGTGGACCAAGTGGAGCCAGGAGAGGAGGGCAGGATGTTGGAAAGGAAGAGGGTGGTGCCGGAGACCATTTTGTTTTGTTTTGTGGAAGCTGTTTCCTTAGATCGAGTTGGGGTGAGCCTTTGCCTTGGCTCATGGAGCAGCCACCACAAGGTCAGCCTCAGTGACTGGTGCTAATGGCTTCGCCTTGGTAATTCCAGCAGGTTGAGCAGGAGGGGAGTTTACCCTGCTCTCCTCTGACCCCCACCTTAGTTTTCTTCTGATTAAGTGAGGACGCCAGCTAGACCGTGTTTGCCAGTGGGCAGAGTCGTCATGCCTTCCAGGAACTCTCTTGTTGAGAGTAACAGATATTTCTTCTCTCTGTATGCCTCTGTTTCCTCATTTTTAAATAATAGTAATGGTTTCTACCTCAATAGTATGATTTCGAGGAGTAAATGAGTTAATACAAGTCAAGTACCTGGCCCATTACAACATGCATGTGAGCTAATGTTATTTAATGTGGGCCTGGTGATACATTCATCCCTGTAAACTGTAAAAGTCCCTGATGGTCAATTTTGGTTTATATTTTATATTTCTTTTTAGTTATTGATGGGGGGGACATTGATTTATTGTTCCACTTATTTATGCATTCATTGCTGATTCTTTTATGTGCTCTGACTGGGATCAACTCACAACCTCAGTGTATTGGGATGACACTCCAACAACTGAGCAACCTGGCCAGGCCTTCAGTTTGGGGGTAGAAGGAGGCAGAGGCCCAGCCATGCTTTTAGCCCAAGCCAGTGCTCCACCATACTCACCAGCCCCTGTCCTGGGGACTGTGGGCCCCTGGCTAACAATGAAGCAACCTGCCCATTCCCATTCACTCTCACCCTGAGGCATATCCCCTTGGGGAGCCCCACTGGAGGAGGGGTATCTGAGTCATTCCAGCATTCCTGAACACACCCTCATCATAATGACACCATCTCACTTCCATCGTAACTTCTGCCCTCCATGCTGCCATTGCCCAGTTCAAAGTTCTGCAACCAAGAGTCAGATGAAGAGAGCAACAAATCTCAAGTAGAAAGTCCCAACAGGTTTCCAAGGTTTCCCCCAATTTTAATCAACTACAACACACCAACAAGAACATCCCTTGGTCAGGCTCATAACCCAACCCCTTTATGTTTTTATTTTTTTTTTTTTTTGCTAAGAGCTCATTTTGAAGCTTAGCATATATTTATAAACACAATCGCTGATTCTGTAGATGAAAAATTATATGAGGCAGTTAAGAGTAGTCAGGCTGAGGGAGAGTAATGCCATCGTTCTCACCTCCAGAAAAATTACAGTCATATTCAGGCTAAAGGAAGCATTTTGGCAAAGGGGTTCCTGGGACGGAAAAGCCAAAAGCAAGTGCATGCACTTTACTTCTGTTAATATGTGTTTAGTTTGGCTGTTGCTGAGTAAAATGCTGGCTTAATACAGAAAAGCTTTCCAATTTCACACAAGGGAGCTAGGCTAAGCACACACCCCTCCTCAACATGACAAGAGTCTATAGAGTGGGGATAATAATACCTACTGTATAGGGTTGCAAAGATCCATAAAAGGATGTGTAACGTCTAGTTCAGCACTGAGTACATTTTAAGTGTTCACAAAATAACAGCTATTATTCTGTTGGATATGTATTCTATATGATTATAACTACATAAAAATAGGTAGAACAAATGCTGGAACAACATACATCAAAATATGAATAGGTGTTATCTCTGGTGATTAGTTATTTTATACATTTCTGAATTGCCTCATATCTATATAAATTTTATTTCCATAGTCACAAAATACTAATAATTTTGAGAATAAAACCATAACAGTTTTTTGAACACCATATACAGGCTTATAAATGTGTAAGGCACCTTTCAATGATTCCACCCAATCTTCCCAACAAGCACAGAGGTATCTATTTTCAATCTACACTTTATAGAAGAGGAAATTGAGCTATGTAAAGTTCAAGGAGTTGCCAGTGAGTTACAAAGCCAGGCTCTGAATACAGGTACTATAACCAAAGTTTGTCAACTGGGGTGGCAGATGGGATGGTGGTTAGAAAATCCAGCTTCTCCTTCATATTCTTGTCTCTGTCTGTCTGTCTCTCATACACATACAGCCCTGCTGACACCCTGCCCTCCCCTAATGTTGGATGCAGAAGGCACAGATCAATTCAATGGAGGGAAAAAACAGCCTTGGGAATAGAAGATAGGAAGATAATAGAGAAATCACATACAGACTTGGCCCTGAACTGTGGACATAGCTGTAGTTTGCTATGTCGTGTACAGTAAGCCAAGTATGTAAATCCTCAAATGCTCTTACATCTCAGAGAACTCAGCTACAGGTATGCAAAGTGTCAGCCTAACTAACTAACTGAATTGGATTTATTTTTGGCAACAGATGGCCCCGTGCATCTGGCACACCAGTCTCGGTGACAGGGAAAGGCTGGTGAGATGTCCGTGAACTGGTTAAAACCAATCACAGGGCTGAATGGCCTCAGGCATAGCTGCATGCTTGATGAGTGTGCAAGAAACACTAAAATCAGATGTTTGTATTTGTCTTTGCCAAACTTCAAATTAATTATGTGCCTGTAATTTGGAGGGGACTGTACAAATGCTGGGACCCCTGTAGGGTATAAATAAATCAATAACAGGTCATTCGATGTTTGTAGCATCTTTTTCTTCAGGTCCAGTTTAATACAAGAGCTTGTTTTAGAGGGTTGTATGTGTTCTCTTGCACACAAGCCTAAATGATATTAGAATCTTCTAAATTTAGTGTACCCAGGGACAAATTCATATCACGCTCGATCCTTGCAAACATCTCCCAGTAGTATGTGAAAGGCTGTTTTGGTAGATACCTCACCTGAAGGTTGCCAGTTCAGTAATGAGGTGGCATACTTGTATATTTTTTCCAGTGGCATCGTGAATTTTAGCTTTGGTTGAAACTGTCCAGTCATCATGTGGATAACCCTTTGTCACCTCAAAGTCCTACTTAGGTTTCTTTTCTGACCCATTCTTACAACCTGAATGAGCCTAGAGGACATTATGCTGATTGAAATAAGCCAGTCACGAAAAGATAAACACTGTCTGATTCTACTTATTTGAGAATTAAACTGTCAAATTCAGAGGCAGAAAGTAGAACGGTGGCTGCCAGGGGCTGAGGGAAGGGGAAATAGGGAGTTGTTGTATGATGGCTGTAGAGATTGTGTTAGCAAACATTTATTATTTTTTAAACTTGTTTTTCAATTACAGTTGGAACCACTGTAGTCTTGGGCTCTGCCACCCAAGCCCGTCCCCCCTCCAACCCCACCCCGAGGGGGCTCTGGAGCTGAGGGACAGCCTGTTGGGGTCAAGGCCCCTCCTTGCCAACTAAGCCAGGAAATTTTTTTTTCTTGGACTCTGGTTAGGGGAAGGTGGGTGACTGGCCTCTTCCTCTAAACATTTAGATGCCACCTGAGGAAGTTAAATACAACAGAAGCTCAGAAGGAGGTAAAACAAACCCCCAGGGACATACAAATACAGTCCACCTGAATCAGCATGGCAGCGTTGGAGATGGATGGGGATGGCCCCAAGTCTTAGTTTGAGCAGCAGCTGCCATGTACCAGCTGTGTGACTATGGGCAAGTCAGGGAACCACTTTGGGCTTAATTCATCACCTTTAGCAGTAAGGAAATACTTCTTCTGTCTGTTTTAAAAGGTTATTAAAATATATGTAAAAATGACATAATACATATGAAAATGTCTTAAAACTCATCTGCAGAGATAGTTACATAAATATCAAACCTTGCAGGCACTGGAGTTTTTGTTAGATAAATGGGACAATTGTCTTCCTCTTGATTGGACTTTGTAAAATTAGGGGTGATGTGTGTAAAGTGTGTAGCACAGGACCCAGAGCAGTGCAGGTTTAATAAATGATAACAAAACGGTTTTCACCTACTGCCACGCCCCTGTGAGTGGCGCCCCCTGGTGGACAGGGAGGGACATGGGGCGGTTGTGGTGGTGGGAGGTTGTAGCAGTGTATGTATTTGATTCTGCCTGGCAGCATCCATTTCCCTGCCTCCTTCTGACGACAATCCTATTTTTCCTTGGGTAATTTCCCTTCCCCTTCTCAGTCTGTGTGGTTCAGGTGCGGTGCCTGTTCTCCCCTCCTTTCTTTCAATCCCTGCCCTGGCCTCCAGTCTGCAATCAGGACGTTTCCGGAGGGTCTGTCATAGGCCCTCCCACCTTCCCCTTGGCCTCAGTGACTGGTTCAGTGATGGACCCAAGACCTGGGAATCCAGGATAATGAAAAACACAACCCTGCGTTTTTTTGTTGGACCCTTTGGCAAACAGAAACACTTTTCTGGGAGGTAACTTAGATGGTGGAAGAGAAGCCTGGAACCAGGAGAAAATGAGGCCAACAGAAAGGAAAGTCAATCCAAGAACTAGGAAAAGTCAGACAATTGATAAACAAATTTTAATATATAAATCCAATCAAGTGAGAACCACTCCTGGACAGTTTAGTTACTTGAGCCGATAACTCCACCATCACCACCCCTTCCCTTCTTTCCTTTTTTTGCTACTTGGTGTTGAGTTTCTGCCATTTATAACTGCAAGTTTTGATTCATGTAATTGGGACAGCAATTTTGAATTTCTCTCCCAACCTTAATGAAATCCCATGTGTTTCTTCTGGGATAATCCCCAAAGTAACACTCACCCTCCGTCCGAACTCTTCGCCTTGCTTCACTTCTCGTGGATAACCATTGACCAGGAAGCCCTGAGTGTGGCCAAGGCTGGTCACCATGGCCTCCCTCAGCAGCTCCAGAATGATGCCCTGCAGCAGAAGGACGGCAGTCAGGGCCTGACTCTTCCGCAACAACACAGCATTACCTGGGGTCTCCTAGTGCCACGGCGCAAGCTAGAAAGCTTCAGACAAGACTGACAGCAACATACACTCTGTCCTCAATTCTAACTTCTCACTCTCCCCCAACCCACATTCTACTGTCTATGAAATTGACAGGTATCTTACAATCAGTGCTGGGCACAACTTAATTGTTGGTGTTTTTTTCCCTGTCTGGTATGTTTGTACTAGTTACATTTACTGGGGTGTCTTAAAATAATGGCATCTTAGGTTATATAAAACACAGTGGTCACACTTCACATGGTAGCACCCCATAAATTAGGCATAATGGCAACTTAAAACTAGGCAAAACATGGTAGAAACTGCATTTTACTGTTGACTTTTTTCCAGTAAATATTTTATAAAAGTTGACACCCACTAACTTGAGACTTTCAGGAGATATGAAGTAGCATTTTCTAGCAATATCGCTTTCTGTTAAAATCTTTGATCTGACCTGTGCTTATGGCAAATAAAGGAGGAGAGCTATGGGGAAGGGCGGGGACAGATACAGGAACAGTGCACCCGGCTGCATGGGTGGGAGAGGTTCTGCTCCCTGGCTCCTGGCTTTGGTAGGGTCTTGGAGGATGCAACTGACACAGGGGTGGTCAGAAACTATCCCTAGATAATGGTGAATTAACTCCTCATGAAGTTTATATTCTAGTGAGATGGACGGATAATAGATGAACAAATAAATACACAATAAAGAGTCAGCTGGAGAGAACTACTAGGAACAAAATTAAAGCAGAGGTAAGAGATACAGGGTGGTTAGGGAGGCCCCTTTGATCAACTCTGACAGTAAAGTAGGGATCTGGATACAGTAAAGGAGCAAGCTATGTGGTTCTGTGAAGAGCACCTGGGCAGAGGAAAGAGCAAGTGCAAAGCCCCTGTGGCAGGAACAGACTGGCCAGTGTCAGGAGCAGGGAGGAAGACAGTGGGTGGGTGCGCTTGAGGTGAGCAGTGGAAAATAGTGTTGGAGAGGGAGCTGGAGGCCAGAGCCAAGGGAAGGACTCTGGATTTAATTTTAAGTGTGGTGAGGAGCCACTGGAAGGTTCTGGGGAAGGGAATGACACAATTTGATAACACTTTCAAGAAATCACTCTGTCTGCTGTGAAAAGAGTAGAGTGTAGGGGGAAGAGAGTGGCCACAGGGAAGCAGCTCCGAGGCAGCTGTAATGGTTCATTTTCTGTTATGAGGGCCGTTCTGTCTCCCAGGTGGGAAGCAGACTGCAGCGGGCGGGGGAGGATGCAGAGCTCTGCTGGCCAATGGGGACTGCACCGCACACGCCCCAAGTACAGGCAGACCCTGGGACTTAGCATGGGGAATGAATGATTTTGCTTCTCTTGGCAACCAGCTTCTCAGAGATGGATGGTGACTTGAAAAAAAAAAGTATGTAAAAGATGATACATAAAAAGATACATATTCTTTACTTAAACTACACAAGGAAGATACCAAATTTCAAGAGAATGCTATCATACTCCCCCAAATAGCAACTTTATTTTCTGTTTTACAGAGGGTTGTAATTCTAGGCTCTCTTGTACCAGGCTCATCTCTGCTTTAAAGATTTTAATTTTAAAGTGGGGACCAGTTTTGGGGGAAAATAGGCTAATATTCAAGGAGCTGGCAGGGCAACAAGACCGAAGGAACCTGGGCCTGGACCACTGACCTGCCGGTCTCTGGACTGCTACCTAAGGGAGAAACAGAATGCAGCCGTTGTCCTTCTGGGCGTCATTGTTCCAGCAGCTTAGACTGAATGCAACACAACACAGTGCCTCCCCCCGTCAGGAAGGCAGCTTACTGAGGGCACCAGGTCCCCGCGTTCCATGATGTCTCTGATCAGTCTGCTTCTCTCAGAGTCTGACAGCAGCTCGTTGCGCAGGAGCTCCCCAGTCGAGAGGTGCGTGAATCCATATTTTTCCACCAGCTTTTTACACTGCGTGCCTTTGCCGGAGCCCGGGCCACCTAGAGAAGGAGTCACGCATCAGACATGCATCCTTAAGTCTGGGGTCTCACTTTCAACTACATTCACCATGGTGGGCAAACGTCAGCGCTTCCTTCATGAAACAGATAACAAGCACTTTCTATTTACCGGGAGCTGTGCTGGGAGATGTGGGTACAATGGAGAATGGGTTCCAGTCCTTGCCCTCAAAGAGTTCACTGTGTGTGGGCGGGGCCGGGGTTACAGACCAGCAAGCAGTCACCATAGGTGGTCTAGGTGGGGGGGGGGTGGAGCTGAGGTGGCAACAGGGTCTCGGAGGCCCGCAGGACCCCCTTTCAGTAGAGATCCAAGTCAGAGGAGTTTCTTGGGGAAACAAATCTGCCTGTGAGCCCACTAAAGAGTGAGTGCTCAACAAATGCTAGCTCTTAATTTTTAAATTGCTTTCACTTCCAAACAACCGCAAAGTCACAGAAGACTTACAAGTAGAGTACGAAAAGCTTTCTGAAACATTTGAGAAAAAGTTGCCGAACTGACACCTCGTCACTACAGAACACTATGGTGTCATTTCCTTCAGAAAAGGAGCCAAGCACGTGGTTCTGCATCACTACACCTGCAGACCCCCTTCGGATTTCCATGGAATCATTTCCCTTGTCCCAATGTCCTTTAAAGCCAATGGATCAAGTTCTAAGTTGTGTGTCGCCTTTCATTGTCTTGTCCTTCTGGGCTCCTTTAGTGTGCAAGAGCTCCTTGGTTTGACAGTTTTGAAGATTCTTCAGTTATTGTGTAATGTCCCTTAATGAGATTTTCTGCTGTTTTCTGGTTATTTTATCAATTCTGATTATCTCTGATTAATTCTGATTACCACACTCCTTTGACGAACATCACACGTTTGGCTCTTCCCCGTACCTCTCCCACTTCCACTGGTTGCTAAGTTTTAAGATTTTACACTGGATAATAATAATAGGTAACCTTTGCCAAGAGCTTGTGGTACTGGTCACTTCTCTAAGCATCTCACACATATTAATTTAAAATAGTCTTAAGAGTCAGGCACTATTATTATCCCCATTTTACAGATGGGGAAGCAAAGACACAGAGAAACGAGCTCCACTGGCCAGTAGCTGGTAAGCTAGTAAGTAGCACGTTTAGGACTTGAAGCCAGGACGCTGGCTCACAGGTGCCCTCTGCTCCCTTCCCTGCTGTGGCACAGCTGGGGTCCTCATGCTCACGGACAGGGCCATCATTCCACTCTGCAGGCGGGAGTGGGAGAGGCTTGGAGTCTGGCACACCTGCTGGTAGGATGGTTTGCTTGAAAAGCACATCACTTCCCAGCTCCATATCATTTAATAGCTTCTCATTCCCCACAGAATAGAATCCAACCCCCAGAGGGGTGTCCAATCTCCCAGAATCTAGCTGCATTTAACTTCTCCAACGCTGTCATGTCCAACTACATACTGTCCCTTCAATAGACTACACTTTTCCAGGCCACTGTGCTTTTGCTCTTCAAGGCCCTCAGCCTGGAAATTCCTTCCTTCCTCCTCTTCATCCCTTCTGCCATAAATGAGCCCTCTCACCCTCGCTTCCGGTGGAGTGAGTGGTTTACATAGCACTTGGGTGCCCTTGGCCCGTCTTACACTTGGTCTCCATGTCCCTCACTAGCACAGTGCCTCGCACACAGTAGGTGCTCCATAAATGCCGCCTGAATTGAGGTTTCCCTGTCAAGGGAAATGTTGAACCTTAAAAATGCACATGATTGAGATTTTAGTTTGGTAGTGAGGATTTATGACTTATTGTCCAATTATCCTGGTTTGCCTCTCTTCGTATTCAAAGCTGCTTCCTTGGGATGTTTGGCAACTTCCCTCCTGAGGGACATTTGTTGTGTTTCTCATTAGTAGAAGGGCTTCTTATTCCCTCTCCTTTGCCTTGGCAGAAAGTAAAGTTAAAACCCACAATTTCTACCTTCTGCTCATCCACACAGCTGCTCTTAGCCAAGGGGGTTGGGTCAGCCCCCTCCCAGCGTTGTCTTGGACGGGTAGATGCCACAGGGAAACGGCAATTACTCGCCAAAATTGTGCGGGGCACTTAGAAGGAGCAGGCGATTGCCCCCTAATGCTGCGTCTGCTCCAAGCACTGTGGCTCCTGTCTGCTGAGGCATCTGAAACGGAGAGTGTGGGAACACAAGAAGGCCCCTCAGGAAGGAGTGCTTCCAGATACCTGCGTAAGAGGAACCAGGGGCAGAGCTCCTGCAGAGACCACGAGGACCTCTGGGACCAGATTTACCTAGAAACTCTTGCAGGGATGGCTGGAAGCCAGTCACGTGGAAAGGAAAAGATATTTTCAGACTTACAGGGCCAAAATGCTGAGTTCCAGTTATTTCTCTTGTTTCACCATCCTACTAACACAACTATTAGTTTTTGGTCCTCTAAAATGTTGTTTAATAAATCTCGACACAAAGGCAATTAAAAATCTTCAGCTCAAATTAACAACAGCTGTGTGTTAAGTGGCAGCTGCCGCCCCCTGAGGAACCTTTCAAACCTTTCGTGGGACCAGCAGCTGCAAATTCTTCACATTCCTTGGCCGAATGGTGGGGGCACAGTGGAATTTTAAGTAATCTGCACAATGCCTTGATTCTTCCCATGGCTCCAAACTGGAGAACAGTGATTTTTATCACTGCGGTGAAGACCCATCGACTGCTAGCAGAAGTAGGAGTTTTCATATACTGTCACTTGAGTGTCTCCGAGGCCTTAACTAATAGCTTTTAAATAAAAAACAATGGGGCCTTGATATCCCTCCAGGATACTTTGTTGCTTGGCAAAAAATCTTTTGAGATGCCACATATCAGAAAAAGTGGGCTGTGCTCTCTGGTGACAAGATGATTGATAGCAGATGAGGAGCTGTCACATTTGTGTCATCTCACTGATTTTTAGTGTGTCATTACTCAAGCCTTAAACCCCTGAGCAAACCTGTACCCAGTATGGCATGGTGTGATACACAAAGAGAGTCTGGAATATGAGGATCCATTTTAAAGTGGTCTGGCAACACTTCCAAAAGAAATAAAGGGGTGAAAAATCTTTTTTTTATCCTCCAGTGCCATTTAAATTTTTTTTTTCATGTGAGACCAAAGTGCTACATTGTGAGAATGAAAACATTGTGAACTTCACAGCTTGGTGTATTATTCCCCCTAAGTTTCCCAGAGCACTACAGGGAGGGAGGGAGGAAGGGAGGGAGGGAGAAAGGAAGGAAGGAGGGAAAGAAGGAGGGAGGGAGGGAAGGAAGGAAGGAAGGAAGGAAGGAAGGAAGGGGCAGCTGCAGAAGTTCTGCTAGGCCAGGCGCCCATGACTGCATTCTCACTCAGGCATTCTCTTTGAGGGGGAAACTGGCTGCATCTCCTCAGCGTGCCCACCTGAGCCATGGTTTCCAGGGTGCTTTTTTATTTATTGGAGTAATCTTCTCTTAAGGAGACAGCTCCTGGTTTCATTAGCTGAGCCCTGCCAGAGAAGACCTCCACCTCCTAAGCATCTGTGGCAGGGTGCTTGGCCTCTGGGCAAAAAGGATGAAATGGCAAAGCAGTACGTTCCAGCACATTCTGCACTCAGAAAGCAAGCCCAAACAAATAAGGAGGTCAGGTAGATAATTAGCTGACCCCCGATCCACACAAGTGCACGTGTGTAGGTTTCTGTTATGCTTTTATTTCTATTTTTTTATCCTCACCTGAGGACATTTTCTCACTGCTTCAGAGAGAGAGAGAAAGGGAGAGAAAAACATCAATGTGAGAGAGAAGCAGCGATCAGTTGCCTCCCACACGCACCTGGACCAGGGATGGTACCCAAAGCAGACATCAAACCTGCAACCTAGGCATGTGCCCTTACCGGGATGAATCAAACTCACGACCTTTCTGTTATGGGATGACATTCCAACCAACTGAGCCACACTGGCCAGGGCTATGCTTTTATTTTTAAAGATTTTAAATAGTAATGGCATAGAGCAGGTTATGGTGTCCTTTGTTGACATTTTATTGTATCTTATTAACTGTAGGATGGAACCTGGAATTAAACATGAGGCCTATTAATACAGCTCTTCATTTGACAAATACCTGTTGGGAAGCTCATGTAGATCAGACACTGTGCTAAGCACTGGGAATAAAAAGACTGAGAGGCTCTGCCTTTTCAATCGGAGAATTCACCGTCTAAGGGAAGATGGCAGGTGAACCCAGTGTCACAGAATGTGTAGGGCTGACAGCCTGCCTGTGAACGGCACTGCAGGGGCCCCGGGACAGACTCTTGGCCAGGCAGGGGAAGAGGGGCTGATGAGCATGCACAAGGACCTCTGTCTACGCAGGAGAAATGAGGAAGAGAAGGGGATAAGGCTGAGTTTGGCGCACTCAGTGAAGTGAAGAGGAGCATGAGAGAGTCCTGCGGAGACGGACGGGAGGGGAGGCCTGCGATGTAGTGGTGCCACTGGAAAGGGGCTGGGGCCGAGGCAGGCCCGCCCTGGCACAGTCTGGAATGTGAGGTTTCTTCACTTCATGCAGGAAAGATTTCTCAGCTCAAGTCCAGGTGATTGAGAGTACACTTATTAAAGCTGGGGACATTGAAACGAAGTCATAGCTTAAGATAGAAAAAGGCAAGAGCACAGTGACAGGAGTGAGTTTGGGCTGGGCTGCCTAGACTCAGGAAAGGACGTCACAGTAACAGGAGTGAGCCACCCTGGGGTTGCCTAGACTTCCTTTCCTGAGTCTGGGCAGCACAGTGTGGCCAGGGCGATTGAAGCTGCTCACTCCCTGGTTGGGGGAAGAGGTGTAACCTATTCACTCCTAAGTGTTCTTGGTTAGGGAAGATAAGACCTTGCAATGTATTAGCTGGCTGTTAATTGTTCAGCCTTTATTTAACTGTCTCAGTCTCCTTCATTCCTCTTGTCAAGCAATTTCCTAGCTTGTTACTACACTGCTTCAGCGGAACGTGCACGGGACAGGCACACCTAGGAATAAACCCTGACTCTGACACTTACTAGTCTTGTGGGTATGGAT